CCAAGCCTGTTCCAAGTAGGTGCTTTAGACCACTGAGCCATCTCTCCAGCCCTTGCCATTTTCTTATAACTCTTCATTTTTATTTCTGTGACAAGTCTTGTGAAATTGTGATGCTAGGTAGCTATATCACTATGATCAAGGCCACTCCAGGAAAGGTCTGTTCTTCAGGGATATCTTTTGTGTGTCAGAGATTCTTGGTTAGTGTCTGTCCTGAGATCTTGCTTTCCAAATTATTGAGAGTGGGATACTGGTTTCTGTTTGGCACTATCCTCTGTCTTTAGGTGTAGGTCTGTAATTAGGTTATTACTCCAGCACTTCCCAATATTGTTACCCAAGGGAGAACAAGCAGTGGTTAAAACAGATATAATATCCTAGCTACAGTAGTACAATTTGTAATAATAATAATAATCAAGCAAAATTTATAAATTGACAAACTTTGGTAACTATTTGGTTTTGTATTTTAAACCATAGGAACAAAGTCTATAGTTATATAGGAGAACAAATCATAAATTGAGAGTTTGTATGCAAAGTATTTCCCCCTTGTTATAGTGGATTTACCATGTTTCTTCTGGGCATGCCAGTTGCCATGTTCCAGGTGCTTCACTTCATGTAAGGCAATGGGCCAGTCACCTGGATTCCTTTGGCCAAACTAGTTACTCAGAGTTCTGACCACTTCCAAATCAGTTGCCAGTGCTGCCTGGCATGGAAATCCAATTTTTAAGTTGTAAAAGACTTGAGTTGATTTCCTTTAAAGAAATAGCTAGCAGCTATTTGAAATATTGCTAAAAATCACACATCCTCAGGTGACTACAAATCAAAACCACAATAAGATGTCACCTCATCAAATTTAGAATCGCTATGATCAAAAGAAAATAATCACAAATTCTGGCAAGGATGTATTCAAAAGAGAATTCATACATTCTTTATAGGAATATAAATTAGTGTGTATAATATGGACAATGGCTTGGACATTCCTAAAAATTAAAAATAAAAGCTATCGTGTTATCCAGCAAACCCACTATTGGGCACATATCAAAAGAAACAATATCAGTATGTCAAGGAAGTATTTGTACACTATTGGCAGGAGTCAAGAAGTCAAATCAACCTATCTTTTTTGATGAGAAAAAATGTATATTTAAAGTAATATATATACACACACACACATTAGAATATTATAAAAATAGAATCTTATGATTATGACAACAAAGATGAATCTGAACATTACATTAAGTGAAACGAGACAACCACAGAGGGACCAATAATACAAAATCTCACTCATACTTGGAATCTAAAAAATAGATATAAGTAGAGCGTAGAATAATATTCACCAGAAACTGGGAAGAAGTGTGAAAGATGGAGGGAAGGGTTTCCACTAAATATTAAGTGGTAGTGTTCTATTATATGATAAAGTGAATATACTTAAAATAATATGTGGTAATAGTATTAATAATATTTACTACGTATTTCTAAGTACCTACATGACTTTAAATGCCCTGACCACAAAAATCATTTGAGATTGTGAATATGCCAATTATTCTGATTTGATCAATACACAGTGATCTATGCCAGAACAATATATTGTGCACTGTTAATTACATGCAATTGTTCTGACAGTTAAAAATGTGAAGATGCTTGAAAACATGCAGAATGTTTGGGCAAGTCCTTCTTATTTTCTACTGGATCCTTTGCTTTTCCAAGTTGACAGCTGCCTGCTCTTTTTGGTACCCAATCTTGCCAAAGTTTCCATTAAATACCATCTTTGGTGCTCCTTTTGCCTCACACTTGGGTTATATATTCTTCTTACAAAAAAATTGTGTAGTTTTTCACTTTTTAGTATTTCCATTCAGTGCAATCAAACACAAACTCTTAAGTAGCTTCCTTAGACAACCCAATACCAGATAAATTCATTGTGAATTTGCAAGTTTCAAAATGTCTTCACTCTTCTTTAATCAGTAATTTGACCAAAGATATGCACATAGATTGAAAATAATTTCCTAAAATCATAGAATCATAGTGTTCTGAATCAAATCATTACTGTTGAGAAACTTGATTTTATTACTGATCCTTCATATATGACCTTTTCCTGTCTACTAATTTGTGTTTCCTTTGACGCTGAAATTTCAACACAATTTATGAATCTATTCTCACAACTGCAGTGGGTAACTGATTGTGATTCATGTGATAACTGATGTTTTGGATACTTTGAGGAATTTTTTTTTATTTTCCCTTAGGGATCTTCTATTTTAGGATATTGGTCTTCCTCTGACAGTTCTGATGTTCTTATCTCTTGTCTCACAGTTTCTTTCCTCTGTTTTCTAGACTTCCCCAACTTTAGCCTCCAGTTTTCTACCTTTGTGTTTAAAACTTTAAGGACCTTTTATTGCTATTCTTTTCAAAATATTTCTTTTAGTACAATGTGGTTTGCTTTGAGTTTTGCTTATTCACCTACTTTCTCTAATAGTCTCTGTAAACATCAGGGTTTTAATTTCATATTTTTAAATTGTCTTGGATAGTAGTCATAGCTGTATTTTTGTCTATTTAATAAACTGATTTTCTCAATGCATCCAGCAAAAAATGCATTGTTTCACCAAAGGATTTTGTGGAATTATCTTTATTGTACGTATATAGCACCCCTGAATATAATTTGTCTCCTATAAATGGCCTCACATTCATCTTTTGTTTTTATTATTCATTTATTTATTTGGTACTGGGTCTAGCTATGCAGCTCAGACTCATAGTAAACCTCCTATCTGAGCCTCTCCAGCACTGGATTACAGGCATGCACCACCACACCTGGTTTCAGTGGCTGGCCTGCCGTGAGGCCAGCATGCCATGAGGTATCGAGGATTGAACCCAGTTCCTTCTGCTTGTCAGGCAGGCACTTAAACTTCTGAGCTATCTCCCCAACCTTCACTTTCATCTTTGGATCTGACACTTGACTCTGCTTGTCTGCTGACTGAACTTCCCTCCTTACCTGTGATTCTTTTGTCTCACCAAATGTCTATTAATAGTCCTTCAGAGATGCCATTTGCTCCTCAATTTTGAACAGTACAGTTGTTGTTGGGGCCGGGGAGATGGCTCAGTAGAATAAGCGCTTCCCTGGCAAGCGCAAGGGCCTGAGTTCAATCCCAGGTTCCACAAAAAAATACAGTTGCTGTTCTTAATGGCTGGGGAGATAGCTCAGTAGAATAAGCACTTGCCTGGCAAGTTCAAGGTCATGAGTTCAATCCCCAGTACCGCCAAAAAAAAAAAAAAAATCATTCTCTGCTTTTTTCATGAATATATCATGTTTCCCTGGAAGGTTGTTGTACAACGTTGTCTGTCTGGCAAGAACATGTCTCACATGAAGGCAGCCTGTGTCATGTGTGGCTACCTGAAGCTGTTGCCTATGTTTGTCATTGTGATGCCAGGAATGATCAGCCGAATTCTGTATACAGGTAAGGTACACGTCTATATCTCTCAATTTTTAGTATTCATTTATTTATTTGGTACAGGGTCTCACTATGCAGCTGGGACACATAGCAATCCTCCTGTCTCAGCCTCCTCAGTGCAGAGATTACAGGTGTACATCACCACACCCAATTTCAGTGACTGGCACAGCATTGTCTATATGGCATGTGGTACCAGGTATGGAACCCAGATCCTTGTGCTTGCCAGGCAGGTGCTTAGCCCACTGAACTATCTCCCTGACCCCCATATCTCTTTTTTATGCTTAAATTCTAGATGTTTTTAAGGTATAGTAAAATAGTGATAAATTAGAAAAAACAGTATAATACATGTCTCCATTTTATGCTTAAATTCAAAGTTTTTTTAAATATAATAAAACAATGACAACTTAGAAAAACGCTTTTGAAAGTAGTAAAAGCAGAAGTCCAGATGAAGAATAAAACACTTTTTCAGAAAGGATTAGGGGCAGGAACATTTAATATATTTGGCACTGTTTATATATGTGTTCTATTCTATTTGTCTTGTAGGCCTTTAAGAAGTAAGTCCTAGCTTCATGAACGGATGTACTTTAATATAGTCTAGAAAATTATAGAAGGTCACTGGCAATTGAATTAGAACTGGACAAATATGAGTTGCCTGATGTGATTGAGTATGATGATATATTTGATCAAAGTCTTGGAGATACATTCTAGACTTCTGGACCATGTTGTGATGATTTCAATATTAAATGTTTTCCAAAAATTCATATAATGAGGGTTTGATATTCAGCATAGAAATGTTGAGAGATAGAGCCTAGAGCTACTGATTGGATTTTAACAGCACTAATCTATTGATAAATTCATACCTATTTGGCATGAAGGGGTCTCTTGGGAGTCTCTTGGGAGTAGGTAGGCCACTGGGTGCATACTTTAGAAGAGCATATTTTTGGGATTCTCCTGCCTCTTCCCCTGTGACTCTTTCAAGGTCTAACTCTACTTTCTAGCCACCCTGAGGTTGGCAACTTTTCCCTTTCCACACGCTTCAATCATGATGTTTCTGCTTCACCACAGGGCTAAAGCAATAGAACCAGCTGACCACATATACTTTCTGATATTTTTGTCATTACCACTGTCTAGTGGAAGCAGCATTCACAAGCCACTTTGATATCCAGACTAGGATGTAGGTGGCTGCACAAGATGGTAGCAAGACCAATGATGGGAATATAAACTAAACAATAGTGAAGAACTGAAACATAGCAATCCAGGAAAACAAAATAAAAAAACAAAGCTACTTTTTAAGATCAATATTACTTGAAGTTCAGGTTTGCAAACTGCATTGTTTTCTGAAATGTTCAATGATCTCCAGAGGAAAAAACCATTAGTATTCAGTCTACCAGCCACCAACCTCAGTGCCAGCTAAGCCTAGCAGTTCTGCCACTGGGATGTGGAAGTTCAGAAACTGAGATCTTTACATAAGGGAGGGGCTCCATGATCCTGAGTACTCTGAAAATCCTGTGCCATAGAGAAGTTATCCTGTGCCATAGAATTGCAATATAGCTAGGAGTGGTGACTGTTAGCCTGGAGGGTCCAGACTCAGGCTTTTGTTTCCATAGATCAGGCTACTGATGAGACCATGAATCAAAGAGAAGTTCAAAGGACTAAGGTAAAGTGAAAAGTGGTGAACATGGGGAATGGTGAGAGTCTTTATCTCCTCAGTACCACACAAGCTGGGGAGCACTGGCTAGAGAATAACCAAAAGTGCTGAAACTATTAGGACACACAAATATTGGGGCAGATATAGATTGACAGATAGGTATTAGCTAGAGCTGTCTCTTTTATAACCCCAATTGTTATGGCTCTATGGGAGATAGAGAAAATTGCAGCATAGCTGGGAACTAACAGTCTAGACACAGAGAGAAGAATGGGGTGGTGCTTGTTACAGAGGCCATAACACAGGTGCAGCCTGGGAAATGAGGCTGAGACACACCTGACAGCTATGCTGCATCTGCTGCACATGCAGAGGTAGGTGTGAAAACTGGGAGCCAGACTGAGGACCACTAGAGAGAGTTGCTCACACAGCAGGTCATGCGTCCTGAGAACATGAAGCGCGCCTTAGAGTCTGTACTCTAATGACAGCAGCATTGACAAACTACTGTGGAATATGCATCCTAGCCAGTAGGGGAGAATAGTTCTGTTCCTTTATTCTTTTTTCTTGTTCTCTCTTCTTTTTTACTGGTTTATTGGTATTTCTTTTTATATAAAGCATATATATGTGCAAATATACCTATGTGCATCAACTTCCTGTTTTAGCGACATTACACTTTATGTTGTTTAGTCATATGCTTCTATATCAAAGGTTGCTTCTTTGGAATATCAAAATTTGCAATTCAATAATTGAATATAGTTCCCTGATCTCTTCCCTCAACTCCCGTTTATATTTCCTTTCTTTACTTTGATTTAGCATAGCTTCTATCTCTCCGCTCTTCTCCCCTTTCTCTTTTCTTTTCTTCTCTTTGTATCTTTTCCTCTCCCCTCTCTCTCTCTTTCTCTCTGTCCATATACACAATTAAAATGAATATAGCATAATTGTACAATTAATATTCCTCTAACTACCATTAATGTTTAATTTTCTCTAGCCTTCTTTACTTTACTCCTCTTCTTGAACTCTTATGGGATACCAAAATAATAAGAATATCTTTAAACAAATCCTAAATTATTTGATAATATATAGTTAGCTTCTCAACTGTTTGTATTACTGTTTTACTCTCTTCTTTCAAAGCAGTGCTAGGAGTTAAGCCTAACATCCAGAAAATACAAAGTAGAAACTTTCACAAAGTGTCTGTATTGCCTATGAAAGACACAGTGCCTCTTCAAAAACTGAAAGCAAAAGTATGAAAAAATCTTAGTCTAACCAAATGCACCCTAAAATCAGACACTATACTCATATCAAACAAATATGATTTCAAACTCAGAAGGAAGGCATTCAAGGATACTTGACAATTATAAATACATATGTTGTAATATTTTCTCCAAATGTTCAACTACATAAATAAACCCTACTTGACATAAAAGGACAGATAGACACAGAAAAATTGATAGTAGGGTCAAGAATAAGATAAGGGTGTACCTTTTCACCGCTTCTGCTTAATATAATACTTGAAACACTCAGGGCTGTCAGGTAAGAGAAAGAAAAAAAAAATATAAATAGAAAAGGAAGAAATAGGGTTATCCTATTTTCAGATTATGTGAGCATTCACATAGAAGATCCAAAAAGTACACCAGAAACCATAAATCTGATAAAGCCAATAATGTGAAAAGATTAACACAACAATCAAGAGCATTCCTATACACGAATCCACTAAGAAAGAAATCAGTTCATTTCACAGTAGTTTAAAATAGTAATCAACCTAACAAAAGGGGTAAAAAGCCTGTACAATGAAAATTATACAATGCTGAAGAAAAAAATTAAAGAAGACACTATAAAAAGTAAAGACATAACTTTTATGATCAGAAGAATCAATATGAAAATGGAAAATTTATCAAAATAAATTTATAAAATCAATGCAATCCTTATTAAAATGCCAATGCAATACTTCATCGAAATAGAAAAAGAGATTTATTTTTCTTGGCAGAACCTGGGGTTGAACTCAGGTCCTTCCACTTGCCAGGCAAGTGTTTATTCTTCTGAGCCATCTCCTGAGCCTGAAAAAGAGACTTTGCAATTCATAAAAGGTCATTAAAGATCCATAGTAGTCAATGAAATACTGAGCGAAAAAACCAATCCAGAAGGATCACAGTAATAATGGAACTGGAAAAAAAAAGTCATGTATATAATGAAACTGAACAGAAAACACAAAAATGAATACAGATGATTTTTTTTAAATGGGCCAAAAATATACACTGGAGAAAAATGAGTTTCTTTAACAAATAGAGACAAGCAAACTGAATTTCTTGAACTCTTATGGGATACCAAAATAATAACAACATCTTTAAACAAATCCTAAATTATTTGATAATATATAGTTAGCTTCTCAACTGTTTGTATTACTGTTTTACTCTTTTCTCTCAAAGCAGTGCTATGAGTTAAGCCTAACATGCAGAAGATTTAAACTAAATTCCTGTCTCTGATTCAGCACTAAAATTATAAAAATGGATCAAAGGCCTAGACATAAAGCAGAAACATGAAACTCCTAGAAGATAATATAGGGAAAATACATGGCAAAGGTACAAGCAATGACTTCCTGAATAGGAATACAAAAGGACAAGAATTAATTTTTAATAAATTAGCAGATATGATTACATCAAAATAAAAAGCTTTGCAGCTCAATAGAGTAAATAGAGATCCACTAAATGGAAGAAATCTATAGCTAATCCTCACAGGATTAGTATTTAGGATATATAAACAAATTAAAATTTCACACCACAACATAACCCAGTGTAAAAGAGGGCCAATGAACAACATAGATACTTCTCAAAAGGCAAAATTCAGCTGCTACACTGACCCAGCGGGACGGACTGGTACCAGCCCAGGTGCAGTGTGGGTGAGACCTTCTTCCAACCCCTTGCGACGCCCCCCACCATTCCACAGCACCTCCCCCACCATGCCTGCCAAGTAAGAATTTCTGCCACATTCCAGAAACACCCAGACTCAGTCCTAGCCCAGGCCAGGTGAGTGTGTGGGAGAGCTTCTGCCTACACTACGCTGGTGGGACCTACTGGTCCCAGCCCAGGCCCAGAATGGGTGAGACCCTATTCCAACCCCTTGGGATGCCCCCAGCATGACATAGTACCCAATCACACCCCACCCGTGGACTAGGAATTTCTGCCAGGTTCTGGGAACCCACAGAGACAGTCCAAGCGCAGGCCAGGTGAGTGTGTGGGAGAGCTGCCTCTCCCCCCTACTCCAACTTGTCCCTTCCAGACTCAGCTCAGGACTGGCACACAGGCCTGGGGTGAAACCCTGCAACTCCAATCCCTGAAGAGAGTGTAGGGGACAGAAAAAACCAGCTAGT